TCTAAACCATATAAACGATAAACGATAAAATCCCCGTCCAATCCAAAAAAAAAGGTAACAAAGGTCTAATGTCGACTATATATATATTTTTCTTCATTTTTTTAAATTCGAATTTTGTATGTTGCTTGTATTTAGAATTTTAAGATTAAACGTGTCATTTTATATCTGATTATTTAAAAGTTGTGATGTTATCTATTCAACAAAAATACTAAAAAAATCAATACATTTGTTATGTATTTATTGATGTTATATTCGTTTTGAAAAAGATTTGAGATTGAGATATATCTATTGACATCTTATATTATGTTGTTGATAACAGATATCAATTTCTTTATTGACTATTCCAAATTGGCTATAGTATCCAAGAAGAAAGCTCGACACCATTACGGATTTTTGACTATTGAAATGGGAACTTATCTTCAAAATATCTTACTTCCACTTGATTTTCTTTATTGGAGCTCCCCTCTTCCCTTTTATAGAACATTGATGTATATGTATTTCTTTACGTTTTTAAAACCAAAGATCTTCCATCTTTAACGAACCCAATAAAAATGAGACCATTCCTTATGAACCCGTTGAGATCTTCGTTACATGTGTTTATTGATTCTTAGATCATCATTTATCAAATTAATTAATTAATCAAAAAAAATTATGATGCACACAAATAAGTACTAAATAAAAGCTCATTAATGACTTATTTAGTTGAACAATTTAAGAAAAATGTTAATTAGCAATAGAACATTTTTAGAAGAAATTCTAAAATGGGATAATGACTTAAAATGGTAATATATTTTCGATTTGTACACATTTGGTCACTGAGTTTTTTTTTTTTTCTTTCGTCCACATTTACCCCTTCAACTTGTTAAACTGTATACATTCAGTCCTTATGACCGGCTACTTCAGGTTACCCGGTAAAAATGACTTAATAGGGTAATATATTTCTTACGCATTTAGTCCTTAATATTTTTGTATACATTTAGTCCTTATTATTATTATTTTTTTTTTTTTCCAAAATAAGTAATTTTTTTGTACTCATTCAGTACTTATGAATGATTTCTTTAGGTTTTTCTCATGAAATCTTACGTGAGACATTCATTAATGATGTATATGAGGCTTTTGATGCTTATTATATCCATACGTCGGGACGGATTTAGCATGGTCCCAGTGTTGCACTGACAACACCTGTTTTTTTTGTTCGCGGTGGAAAAAATTTTGATTTTTTTTTCGTTTATACCTATTTTTCATGTATCTGCAACACCTATTTCATCTCTGCAATACCTACTATGTATTCATGCGTCTGCCTCTGTCCATACATTTTTTATTAATGCATGTATGGATGTTTTTTTTATAAAATTTTAAGTAAAAATATATTAGATTTTAACCGGAGTAATCTTAATGAAAGTTATAGTAGACTCAAAAAAATGAACATGTGGATATAAAGATCGTTAAAATCTGATATCGTAAGAAGAAGTTACGATGTTCAAAATACAAGACCTACGCAACCAAACAGTCGAGATTAAGTTGGACATAAACATCAACAACCTCAAACATCTCATCAATGATTGTCTCACGTAAGATGTCGTGAGAAAAAACTAAATAAATCATTCATAAGTACTGAATGAGTACAAAAAATGACTTATTTTGAAACAAAAAAAAAAGTTAAGGACTAAATATGTACAAAAATATTAAGGACTACATGTATACAAAATGAAAAATATATTACCCTAATAAGTCATTTTTCCCGACTAACCTGGAGTAACCGGTCATAAGGACTGAATGTGTACAGTTTAACAAGTTGAAGTGGTAAATGTGGACGAAAAACAAAGTCAGTGACCAAATATGTACAAATCAAAAAATACATTACCCTTTTAAGTCATTATCCCTTCTAAAAATCTATAAATATTGTAAAATAAATAAGTAAAATCCAAACAAATATATATAAATAACAATTGAAAAACAAGTAGAATGCAATAAAAACGGTTAGGGTGATGTGATCAGCCACATGCGTGTCTGAAAACGATTCTTCTTTTTCTTTTTTAGTTTTTGGGTGTCAACAACTGATGCGTTGTTTACAGCTGTACCCGATTCAGGAAGGACTATGAACACTATGCTTAAAGAATTTCACTATCCAAACTCATCGTTCTCAATATTTGCAAACTTACCCCCTCAGATTTTGTTTCTTCATAGTTTGTCCTTTACCTTTTTTTATCATTCACATTTTCTTGGCCATAGCCTTGTTGATTATTTCACTTGTAGTTGTGTCTTTGACAAATTATGTTATGGTTCTCCTACGACTTTTAGCAATATACATTGTTACATAAGACTTTATGTAGTTTAAGAATCGCATAAATAATCAATGTTGTGGAATTCACTATTCAGTTCGGTCGATTGGGGAGTAGTGAGTACTCGGTCTAGGTAGGGAGTAATTGGATATGATATTTTATAAAGAAATTAATTTTAGGGAAATCATATATATGAAAAATCAAAAGTTTATTAAAATTCATAACAAAGTATGTGAAATATCAATAAAAAAGATACATGTTTTGTTTAATTAGTTCTAAAAGATAAAGATTTTAATCATGAAAATCTTAAAAATTAGAATGAGAGAGAAGAAAACATATACAAATCATTTATTCAGTACCTTACTTTAGTTTTAGGGTTAGTATGTTAGATAAAGTATAAAATATAGATATAAATCTTGAAATTCTTGATTTTTTCTCCTTTTAAGTCAGTTTTAACCATTTGACCGAGTTGGCCACGTTTGATCGAGTTGCCCGAGGTTGACCGAATTGGTCAGAGTTTGACCAAGTTGGACCGATTTTGACAGAGGTTGACCAAATTCCGAATTATTTAGCCGAGCTGGCTTAACTCGCCTTAGTAAGAGGCTGAGTCCGAGTACTCGGTTAAGCACTCGTCCGAGGTGGTACAAATTTACAACATTGTAAGTAATATATATTGTTACACAAGACTTTATGAAGTTTAAGTTATCTCATTATAAATTTTATTGGTAGCACTATTTGCATGTAAAACTGTAAGAAACAAATATTTCCAATAAAAATTGATTGATTTATTTATGTGGCATACTAATCAATTAGGAAACAGGATTTTTTCTACATGATAGAGTAAGCATATCGGTTGTGATAGTTTTTTCAGATGGTTTGAAACTAATGACCACTTATTTTGTGTCTGTTTATTAATGAACAAATACATATATTAGCTACATATGAATAAACTTACCTTAGCAAAAATCTTTTAGGTATTCTATGATGTTTTTTTAGAATATTAGGTTCCGAGACCATGATACCAGTTAAACTAGCTCATTTAATCAAGCAGATTAAACATCTAAAATCATTTTGTTGTCATATTTACATTTCATTAATCTAATGACGATTATTCACGCATCTCATTCGAATCCTAGCAATGAAGCATTTATATGGATGCTCTTTCAACAACCAAATATACATATTAACTAGGGGTGTTCGCGGTGCGGTTTGGTGCGGTTTAGAGTTGAAACCACAAACCGCACCGCACATGCGGTTTGAGTTTTTTGGAAACCGCAAACCGCACCACAAAAGCTCTAAACCACATTATGCGGTGCGGTTTTATGCGGGCGGTTTGTGCGGTTTATGTGCGGTTTGATAAGTTGTTTCAATTTATAAATTTGGTTGTTATTCATTCCATTTAAACACTTTCAAAATTTATTAATTATATTGCATACCCTTTAAAAGG